GTGAAGCCATTCAAAGGAGTGGAAGCTGTGTGAGCCTCCACATATATGCTCGTCCTCATTTTTATCTGGTAAGCCACCTTATGGATGTGCCGGCCAGCGTGGGGGCTGTTCGCGGTTGCAATTGCGTCTACAGCAGTGATTGCAGTAGCACCAAGTTGCAGGCATTGCTCCATATCACACTAGGACCTGCCACTGATGATGTGATCTCTGCCACGGATTATGTGTTGGCGGTGCTGTGTTGTGACTCGTACACCTTCTGGCAGTGTTGACTCAAGCCTGTGCCCGGCTACTAAATCAAGAAGAAGGCGGTGATGGCACATCTAATAGCACTGGAGAAGCTCACCGAAGACATGTGACACTGGAATATAACAAAACTAGCAAGTTTTTTTATCACTTACGCTAGTTTCTTGATAAATTGTAAAGTGGTCTTGCTAGGGAAAGATCTTAATTGGACGGACACTTCGATCTCTACTGACAGATACACCAGGGCTTAGAATAGCCACTATGTCACTAGGTAAATATCCTTTGTCGAGAGCCTGCCCATTTGAAAGAGGATCCACCGAATCATTGATAATTGAATCCGGTCTCTCACAAAAAGTGAAGTTATGTAGTCTACCGGTCCCAATTATTACTCTTCCAACATGATTTAGCTTCACTTGTAGTGGCCGGCGTGAGATTCTCTATTTTGTAGTCATCAGGCGAAATGTTTGCTCTATCTTAATTTGCAGCTGGCTGACGTAGAATTTGTAGGCGTCATTGGTCGAATTGTCTCGATGACAACCGGAAAATGGAGTGATCAAGTTCTCACGTTAAATGAGACCACCCAAAACAAAATGATACTTACGAACCTAAGTACGAATCGCGATTTAAGCACTCTAAACGAAAGCGGGGCGTCTCTTGAGTAGGGATTGATATTCAAAGGTTTTTTTAAACTAATATATTAGTTGATATTACCAAAATTTCAACTAATAGCTGACTATTAGTTTGAAAAAGGCGCCAAAACAAGCTTATATTAGTGATAATAATAACGAAGTATTAATATGTCGACTACCAATATTATTTGGGTTCTGTGTGGACCACAAGAGGTCCTCATAGGCTACCAGGTTGATAACCAGCATCCATGCGGCGGATCTCTTCCCGATTGTGCTTCAAGAGCACCTGCATCTCAGCGCGACGATTGTCCGTTCGGGTCCGCAGGCTGCTCATTACGATGCCGCCAGTAGTAAAAACGCGCTCTTGAAACGCGTTCGATGGCGATCTTCCCAACCAGACGCGCGCCAGTGCCGCAATAGATGGGAACAGAGTGGATCCAATCTCCCGAAACCAGCGCAGGATATCGACGTGCTTACAGACAGCCTCGACATTCCAGCAGTAGACCCCTTCGCGTCGAACCATCAGCATAGGTGTGAGACTGTCCATGGCTCTAGTAGGTTTAGGAGCTTGGTGCAGCACCACGGAGACCCAGTCCACAGAATCTTGCAGCCATTTCTCCAGGATCTTGTCCGCTTGGTCGTGTAGTGGTGATAGCGACGTGGCTCCAGCATTGGTCATTGGGACAGCTGCTCCGCAGATCGTCGTATCGTCCTCAGCACTTGGGACGAGATTCAGATTTGGCAGCGTATTGGTGGTTTCGCTTTGAGTGGCCCCACGCGAAGCTTGGCTTTGTGCGCAGTACACTTCGCGATGCGCGTCACGGAGCAACCGTTTTCCTGACGCAATAATGGAATCGGCGGCAACTACTTCCGTTGTTTCAACATCTCTGCTGGCAGCATCATGCTGGAAGGGCGCCAAACGCTCCGCTAGAGTCCCATTATCGTACAGTTCATTGCTGCAGATGTGGTGGACACCACGTCCACAAGCAACACAAGGTGCGGTCGTCGTAAGCTCCTCAGAGGAGCAGTCGGCGTTGGCACATTTCATCGTAGGAGGGGAGGGCAGGCTGCAAAGCGAGGGGGGGCTCTTGATTGCTGGAAAGATTAAAAACGAGGCAAATTAGTATGTATGAGGTCCTTTAGGTCGGTCCTGAGCGACGAACCTTCGCGATCGCCTTCATTGTATTCGAGAGCGGTCCTGTGCGACGAACCGCATCATGCTCGATAGATGGTGCAACAAGTGTCTGGGTATGATCATGAGGGTAAGGCGGGGAGTACTGCCGCCACCAGCGCCAGGAACCAGACTGTGTTGGTCGATAAGGAAATGCCATTCTATAATCAGATAGTAGTAGGGTATTAATATCTGATCGAAATTAAAACATAAGACGATATTACCATTTGTTTTCCTTTGAGAATAAACTAATAACGCTAATATTAGTTTAATATTAGTTTGTTATTAATATTTACTTCACTATTACTATAAGTCAAGTTACTATCAATCTCTAATATTTTTTCATTTTAAAAAGTCAAGTGTTATTTGAAAGCCCTTGTTAAAAGCAATTGAATAAGGGTAGTTTTACAGTTTTTTCGATTAAAGTTTACAGTAAATGTCAGTTTCGGTTAAGTGCGAAAATCAATTGGCCAACTTTAAGCTCGATTATCTCGATAGCTCTAAATGGTTCGTAAGTATCATTTTGTTTGACGCAGTCTTAAATGTAAACGTATCACCGATAACGTATTTACAATTTGGTAGGTTTTCAACGAGTCTAGATACACTCGTTTTACTGGAAGCACGCACGTCGTTTGCTCCTCCACGAGCAGCAACACACATAATATGAATCTACAGATATGATCTCACACGGCCTGAACATTTACACCCACTCCTTGATAACGGCCAGAGAAGTAAGAGAAAACGTTCCCGGTTTCTTTAGATGATGGTGCCTTGATTCGTACCAACATTCCATCGACGCACCCAATACAACCGCTAATAACATCATGGGAACTACAAAGTGTGAAATTAGCTGCAGCCCAAAATAATTTACGGTTGGTCTTTGGAAAGTTCATATCCAACGTCCTACCTGATAGAATAGTGGTAATAGCTAAGTGGATAAGACGGTAAATCGATGCCACACTGATCTCCGCAATATTGCGAATATCTAAAGTAGGATCCCCCCGCTAGCCATCGAAGCAGACAGTGTAGCACAATTTCTGGGGCAGTGGGTTCGACACCCGATACGATCGAGCGAGATTCATCGACACATATATCATTCCCCAGTAGTGACAGCAGATTATTGAGTGACGCGACATTCATGCGATAAGTTTGATAAAACACGGCCTCGGTCTCCAATTGATCAACTCGGTCAGCCCACAGAACAGCTTCAAAAAAATAATTAATGAAACGCTAGCGTTTCTTAAAATAGATCTTAATAATAAAGTAGGACTTTTTGTATAAAATGTTGCTTTTACTACTATTTCCTTTGTTTATATACGTAGCCGAGCCGCTGCTTCATAATCCATTTTTATTAGTGCGGTAAGCTTAGAGCGTCCAAGTTCTCATCACAGTATGGGTACCGGAGCCACAGCGATATTTATCCTGCAGCAAAAAGTGCCAACGACTTACGCTTTAAACAATATTTAAATGTGGTTAATACATGATCGCCGGAAATTGCATGGTTCAATGAGTTGAAGCCGTGACACTACATCTAGCTCATTCCTGCTCTTGGGTTTCATGATGAGCTCGGCTCCGGACCACACGAGAAGCTTATTATAAGATGCTGTTTGTAACGCGAATCACATGTAGATGTAATGGAGTTTAAGACACTGTGTAGTGTTTGAAAAACTCCTAATAGAGGATACGATGTTATTTCCTTTGTTCTGGTGTGCAGGTCCAGAGGTGACGGCTTATATAAAATCACTAGTATTTGGTGTCTAACATGAGTCGTTGCGCAACTTTAGTAATGTTTGCACGAGCACAAGCAATTAAGCCGGTTTTGCAACTCCACAAGACGACAAATGGCCGCATACATGAAACCGAGCTGATTTTAGCCAATGGAAAGCGGTTGCTGTACTCGGGCGGATTTTAATCGTCGTTGTCTGCATTCGATCACGAAATGTTTTATGTAATTAGATTACGTGCCCAAACTTCGTAATCCCCGCCTGATCCGGAAAGGCAAAACCAGTACATGTATTTGAATAGCAAGTTGGTCGTGAGTTACGGCGGTTGGTTTAGTGCATATTCCTGAAAAATTGCGATATTTCGAGCGAATTATTTCAATATGAAAATTTATGGTAGCATCTGAGTAGTGCCAAGGTACTGCGACCCTTTTTGAAACTGATTCGATAAGCCTGGCTTGAGTGGACGAGTATGTGATTTCACGTCGACACGTACCATGGATTCCAACTACCAAGGTAAAACTTTTGAGGCTGCTCCTATCTAGTAAAATCGAAAGCCGTTTTGTGCAATTTGTAGCATACTGTACCCATTTGATGTTTTAATTTGGACCTAAGGAACTTCCAAACCAGCACTATATGCAGCACAACGATGCCATTTTTTAATTATTTAATTACGCGTACAGGGGCGTTTGGTACTTCAAAGGCGGTAGGCAGTGCAATACAGCTATACGCTTTCTTTGCTAACCTCTTCTCGCTGGTTCAGCAGCATATTTACTACACTGCTGGTTGGAATAGGCACAGGCTCAGAGCAATTCTGAACGATTGGAACATGTTCTGAACATGCTCCAAACCAGCACTAGTCAGAATCCGTGTTATTATCCAATTTAAAATTGGTAGGAAGCGCTATCATTTTTTTCTCGAAACAAAACTTCGTCCCTCTGGAACAAATACGTCGATACGTACAGACACACCGCCCCATCGATCTCGTACGAGTTGCCCGTGTACGCCAACAATCCCGTTTGCTCGTCCACTTTAAACACGTACATGTCGTCCGATGCCTGGTTCGCCACGATGAGCCAATCTTCGTATATGGTAAATCCTCGAGGTGTACGACCACGCGTGCTCTCCCAGCCGAGCGATGTCAACGTACCATCCGACTCATTGATCGCATAGATTGCGATCGAGTTGTGACCGCGGTTCGACACGTACACGAACTTGCCGTTCTTCGATAGGTGGATGTCGGCGGCTGTGCTGGTGCTCGTAAAATCTTTTGGTAGACTCGTGATGTTCTGGATCGCAGGACTCTCCAGCAGAGACTTCTGGTGGCTGATCCTGTACACGCCGACAGTGTTGGAGAGCTCGTCCGTGATGTACAGAAAGTCTCCGCTCGTACTCAACACCGAGTGGCGTGGTCCGGATCCGGGCGGACGATTGACGGTCTCGAGTTTCTTCAGTGTCTGTTTAGTTGTATCCAGCTCATACTGTAGCAAGGTGTCGCCTCCAAGGTCAAAAACAACCACGTGGTTGGAGTTGGGCAGCCACCTCGTACTGTGGATGTGACCCGTAGCCTGTTGGTCCATGACGATTCGGCTTCCATTCGGGAATGCCTCGTAGTATGTCTCTGGAGCCACACTACCGTTCTCGTATAGCGGGACCAGCGAGAGACTACCAGCATAGTTAGCGACAGTAACGAAGTCCTCGTTCGGGCTGAGAGTGATGTGAGCTGGAGATCCGCCCAACATCTGCTGCGTGTTGAGGAGATCGAGCTTGCCGTTAGCATTCAACGTCATCGCCGACACATACCCGATACCTGTCGCACGGTTAAGAGCATAGATCAAAGGCTTGCCGTCGTATTTCTTGCTGGTCGCTTCTTTTAGATAGGTGGGGTTAGTTTCCCCCGTCGCAAAGCTGAGCGGTGTGACTGCCCATTGCGTGAGAGAGCCGTCGTTAGTGTTCAACTTGTAAGTGTAGATGCCCTTCGCTGGGTCGGTGTTCTGCGTGGCAGCGAATAAAAGCGGCTGTGCTTTCTGTGCGGAACCAACCGTGACACCGGTTGCAGCAGCAGCAAGGAAAAGCATAAAACTTGGAAGGTGCATGGCTCTGCTTGGTGCTTCGAGTTTCTTGGGGATAATTAGAATGTGCGCGGGGATGCTAGCAGTGCACAGGGCTGTCGAACTGGCCTCTGTCCAAAGCGATATGATGAATGGCCTACACGTAGTTGTATGGACCGGCACATGCGGCTTACTGGTCGAATAGTCGTCATCATGCACTGCAGATTAGTGGAACAGAGGAAGATGAATGCGACCATTGACTTCTTTCGAAGAAGTTCTTTGTAGACCTAGAAGTCTTCACTATAGTGAAGACTCTTCACTACAAAGACTCTTTACTGAAGACTTTTCAGTCGTGGTGCTACAGATCTCGACTGAGACTGAGTCCTTGACCTTCAAGTTGACGTCAACTGCATTCTGTTTTAGATGTTAAACGACTTGAAGTCGAAGTGACAAAGTTGCTGCAAATCCAAGCAGCACTTATGTTGCGCCAAGATCCAAAGTTCAACCACTGACAAAATCTCACTGACGTGACGTCAGTGACGTCACTGGCGATCAGTTTATCTTTCGCCTTGCTCGCCCGTATCCGGATATGAGCGGCCCCACCATCGCCTTCATCGACTGCTCCGCCGGCATTGCGGGTGATATGCTCCTGGGCGCGCTGATAGATGCCGTACGTCTCAACTTCACTATTCTTCACTCGTATTTGTAGTGTTAAAAAATGTGTCATTCGTGTGTCATTCGTAGGGTGCTCCACTAGACGAGATCAAGCGCGGCCTCGAGTCGCTACATGGTATCAAAGGTGAATGGGAGCTCAGTACCAAAAGAGTGTGGAAGGGACCTGGTAGTATTGCTGGCACCAAGGCAGATGTAGGATCCATCTACCAGCATAAAGAGGCTGGAGCGCCCACACCCAGTCACGCTCTGCAGCATGACCACGGACATGAACACGGTCATAGTCACAGTCATGGACATAGCCACACGCACAGCCATGGCCATGACGATACACACACTCACGAGGAGGAGGCTTTGGTCGAGATGAGCCATGATCACTCACATGACCACGATCATGATCATGACCACGAACATACGCACGAACATGTTCACGGCGGGGAGGAAGGAGAGCCCATGCGTAATTTGGACGACATTAAAGCTCTTATTGCCGAGAGTGAGCTATCAGACTGGGCGAAGGAAAAGAGCGTCGCTGTGTTCACGTTGCTGGCTCAGGCGGAGGCTCATACGCACGGCACGTCACTGGAGGAGATTCATTTCCACGAAGTGGGGGCGATTGACAGCATTGTCGACACCATTGGCTCGGTGATCGCATTGGATCTGCTTGGTGTACGTGAAGTACACGCCTCATTCTTGCCATTTTCTTCGGGAATGGTCAAGTGTATGCACGGAGTCCTTCCCGTTCCTCCACCTGCTACGTTCCGGTTGATGATTGGCGTCCCTGTGTGTCCTGCTCCCAAGGGGTAAGTTCTACTCTCTACAGAAGTCACTATTATTGAAGCACTTATAGTGTTCTACTCGTTACAGAGCCAAGGGGGAGCTGGTGACGCCAACAGGTATCAGTCTTGTGAAGGCGTTGGCGTCCACGTTTGGCGAGCCACCAGCGTTCATTCCGACGCATACTGGCGTTGGGGCTGGTACGAAAGACTTTCCGGAACATGCCAACATTGTCCGGATTGCAATTGGAACGAAGATCGACCCTATGGCAACTCAAAAGAGCTACGTCAATCCTGCCGCTACCTTGAGGTCTGCCGAGTCTACCTCTTGTCTCTATACATCGGAGAGAGTCGTCGTTCTTGAGACCAACTTGGATGATTTGAACCCGCAGGTAATTGGCTACGTCTCGGAGCGACTGCTGTCGGAGCATCACGCACTTGACGTTTGGAAACAACCCATTCAGATGAAGAAGAACCGACCTGGCGTTTGCCTCAGGTACGATCGTAATATTGTTTTATATCACTCTCAAATCGACTAATCTAATGTACTACTTTATAATTTCTCAGTATTTTATGCCGCGCTGAACACGAGCGGGAGATTTTAGAGGCGATTTTTCGTGAGACTACAACGTTAGGTGTCCGTCGGTAAGTATTACTCTCTTCCTACTAGTACTATTTTCTTGTACTAACATATTTTTTGTGACGTAACGAAAAATAGTAATGTGATGGATCGTGTTTTTCTGTCTCGCAAGTTCATTCATGTGTCTGCTTTCGGGCGCTCTGTGGACGTAAAAGTAGCCTTTTTCGGCAACGAGGCTGTGACTTTTCATCCCGAGTTTGAGCATTGCAAGGCGATTGCGATGGAGCAGAACGTCCCTTTGCTTCAGGTGATCGACGAGGTGAAGGCTCTTGCACTTCCTCAATTAAAAACGCTAACATAAAAATGAGGGAACCTCAAAATTCCTTGTCGTCTTGCACGATCTATCTCTTCGCCATTTGCCAAATATTCTTGAGCTCGTGCATCCCTGCGCCATAGCAGAATGCAGCCAGACGCCCTGGAATGATCGACTGCACCAGGTTGGCAGTTAAGTAGGCGAACCAGGTATCGTACACGAGTATTTCACCATTGAACATGGCGTCTAGCGCCTTCTTGGCCGTGTCTTTTGCGTCGGCTGCAAGGCCCGGCAACGTCATACACACTGCCTTATCCAGATCCGCTGTCTTACTGAAATTCGTATTCACCGGTCCAGGACAGACACACGTGACGGTGACACCAGTCGATCTCAGTTCGTAGCTCAACGCTTGACTGAAGCTCGTCATAAACGCCTTGCTACTACCATACAGCGCAGCGGTGGGGACAGCGAGCGCCCCGGCAATGGAGCTGATGTTGAGCACACGGCCAACCTTACGCTCCACCATTTGTGGCACGATAGCGCGAGTGAGTTTGACCATCGCGAGCATGTCCAAAGTCATGAGTTCGTCGATCTCTTTCTCTTTTAGCTCGATAAAATCTTTCGTCAGACAAGCTCCTGCGTTGTTTACGAGGATATCGATGACCAAATCCTTGTCTTTGACGAGTTTGATGAGCTTATTGATCCCGCCAGTCGTCGACAGGTCACAGACACACACCAGCACTTCGGTGGGGCGGTTCACCAGCTCAATCTCAGCGCGCATACGCTCCAATACCGTCTCGGTGCGTGCGGCCAATACAAGCGAATACTTTTGCTCCGACAGCAAGTAGCTCATCTCCCTGCCAAGTCCAGAAGACGCACCAGTTACCAGAGCATAGCGCTTGAGCTCGGGGGTTGTGGACTCGAAGTTCCAGAGATGGTAGCGAGTCAGAGCCAAGTCCAGACTCGCCATGATGAAGTACAGGAAGAGGAGAACGCGCACCACATACACGACACTTGACGCATTCACGAAGGTCAACGCAAGGACCAGCACTCCCGTCAGGTGTGCAGGCTTCCACACCACATTCACGCGCTCTCGACGTCTCGCCGCCGACATATTGCAACAGAACAGGGTTCTGGACTGGGGATAAATTGGTCGGGAAAAAACCGTTTATACCACCCACCCACCCCGAGAGTTTGCAGGAAGGGTTTATTGAGGATTATTAAAATAACCATCCACCCATCATGTTCTAGTCCACCCATCAGTCATTCACCCGCCCACTATCCCTCTCCTCTATCAATCCAGATTTATCAATCTCTAGTCCATCCATCAAATGGCATATCGCCTCGAGCTCCAGAACTTGGTCGAGGTCCAATCAGGTATCACTCTTCAATTTCCTTGCTTCAGCACAGGGGGCGACGGGCCGAAGAACTGTGAACGATCGCATCAAAACCCCGACGTACTTTTGTACAGTGCACTGCAGTCGTTGATTGGGCGCTTAGTATGGTATAGGGGGCGTAAAGCCACGGCATTCTGCAATGGTCAATCCGCAAACACTGTTTGCATCGATAGACCTGCACATCCCACCCTGCTGTGCAGAGCAAAATCACTACTGTGAAGTTTGTGAATTAAGAGTGTCAACTTTGGTAATTTCATATATTAGAAGTTTGTAAGGATTTAGAAAACAAATATTTAAGTAACTACATTCTATTAATAGATTTAGCAATATACAAAATCGTCGCTCTGATTGCTCGTCCCGGTGTCCTCTTCCTCATCTTCCTCTACAAACACCCGTAGTAAGTCTTCCAGATTCGAGTAGCGCTTAATGTCTTCATCACAAATATTCTTCGCATTGAAGAAAATATGTACTAGCTTCTCCACCCGATCAGGCGCCAACCGGTTGCGTAGTTTAGAGTGAATGAAGGCGTGAGCCGAGAAGTTGCGCTCCGACGCAGCGCTAGAAGCCGCGCAGCGAAACAGACGCAGCGCTATGTCCTGCAGCAAAGGGAGATTATTCAGTCCACACCAGAAGTCGAAAAGCGGGATCTTGCGCTCACAGAGTAGGCCCCATTGTCGTGGTTGCGTTACTTTCAGATCTCGGACATGCCGATGATAAGCTGACAACTCCACGATCACTGCGTCCGCTTTCTCCTCATCATGCCATTGTACAACAAAATCCTCGACAGCGCTGCGAAGAGAAGCATCCATGTCAATCCCAGCATAGCGTGGGTCTAACAGGTACGCAATGCCGTGAGCATCTCCGTAGATAAACTCAAATCGCGAGCTGACGAGCGCATCCACGCTCTTGTACTCGGCTGCAGTGAGTCCTGTAGCTTTTAGCTCGTTCGGTAGGTCGACAAAAACTTGGTACACCTCCGAAACTGGTGTGACGTTCTTCTCAAACAACTTCAGCGCCTTCGAAATTGGCTTAAGGATGGCGATAGCCTTCTTTAAGCGAGGCACAAATTCAGCCGATGTCACTAGAGTATGGACGCCACGGCGGGTCTTTTTTTGTTTTTTTGTCTTCGCCTTCAGGAATCCGCGGGCTGACACACGAGAGAATAGTATGGCCTCTGCAGCCAGTACAGTCTCGAAGCACTTCAGCAGGGATCCCCATCTTGTGTCTCCTGGCTTAGCGAGAACCTGTAGATCTTTCTCTTCAAGCTGTGCTGAAAGCTCTGCCCACGCTTTGTGATTCTTCTTGAAGAAGGTAACCATTTCCTTACATCCACTCTGCAACGTATCCATCCATTTTACCTTTTTTACGATGTCCTTGACTAGTAAATGTAGGCCGTGGCAGACGCAGCCGTGGAAGAAAGTTTTGGGAAACTTGTTTTGCAAAGTTTCCCAAGTGGCCTTGTTCGCGTTAGTATTATCTGTCACCACGGCGCCGACCTCGAGAAAATCGTATTTGGCAATAACTCGCTCAATGTCCGCTGCCAAAAACTCGGCATCGTGCGCTTGAGTACCGGTGTAGACGCTCTCAAAAAAAAACGTGTACTCCCCGCAAACGACGACATAGTTCACAACAGCAAGGCCATTGATGTCTGTCCATCCTCCGTGACCAAGGTCACAATTTTCCCATCCAGAGCGACTTTGAGCATCTTGATTGACTTGCTGTACGCACGATCGAGAAACACTGTAGCTAGCTGCTCGGGACTTGGGACTTTGACGTCTGGGTGTAGTAGCTGAAGTGCTTCGAGAAAGCTAATATGTCCGATCCTATAGAAGGGCATACCCGTGCTGTACACCCACCATGCCAATCGATCTTGAAACTGCTTGGTGGTGTCGCTCTTCAGACGGGGTCGGAAAGTATCAGTAATTAGCGCTGTAGTCCTTTTAGCAGAGCAGCGCTTGGTCAGATGATGCTTGATACGCTCGACGTGGCTCCGACCGGTGGTTTGAAGCTGCTGGTTGCACTTTTTGCACCAGACACCACCTTGTGGATCCACATCCACATGGCTCCAGGCTGCGTCTGCTTTCCGACCGGGGCGAACAGTCAGATCCCTCTGCTCTATGACGACAGGAGGGTTCCCCGAGCTAGCTGGAATCGCGCCGGTCCGTAGCGACATGCTGCGTAGACTAGGCTTCAGAGGTCTTGAGGAGAGGGGAGAGTTTTGGAGAATGAGAGTCCGCAAAGAAGTCGAAAATTACTGCTGCGTGCAAAATAGAATGATTGGCTTGCACGGTGCAAGCCAATCATTCTGTTCGCCCAATTCATGGAGTAATTGCATCCAATTAAAAGAATTGGTGAAGGGATAGGTGCTAAAAATCCAATTATAACACCCACCCATGCTATTTAATAAATACCCCTGATATTTCAAGGTTTTGGGGTTTTCCAGAACCCTGCAACAGAATGAGTGGGACTTGAACTACAGTTCTCACTTGATTGATATGCAATGCATATCAATCAAGTGAGAACTGTAGTATATTATGCATATCGCAATATACAGATTCCGCAAAGGATTTGTGCGTAAAGATACAATAATTTATTAATTCACCTCATAGATGATATTCCTGTATAACTTGATATATCAGGAATTAGAGAACATGCGTGGTCAACGTGTCATTTTGGATCAAGCGATCGTCTGCTCAAGTGCTGGACAATGTTCGATCTGTTGACGTACAAGATCTACGGGGCGCCGGCCTACATGGTGGTGCCCTTTGTGATCCTGGTGATTGTGTATGTGGTGCTGGTAGTACGCTTCATTATGCACATGCGCGGACTCAATGTGAGCTTCACGGGGAAGAAGAAGAAGATGGCGCTGCTGTTGGGGCCACGCAACGCCGGCAAGACGAGCTTCTTCCATCTCATCCGCGACGGCGAACACGTGGACACTGTGAGCTCCATGAAGGACCAGACCTTCCGCTTCCTGGTGCACCCCAAGTACAACCCGGACAAGTTCGACGCAGAGCTCACGGTCGTCGACTACCCCGGCCATGAACGTCTTCGCTCGTAAGATACAATTATTCTATTATGTTTGCAATATTTTGACAAGTATTGTGTGATTATTGCAGACGTGTAGCGGAGTTTTTCCCTGTTACGGGATGCATCGCGTTCTTCGTGGATGCCAGCGACGTGCCGTCATTCCGTAAAGCTGCAGAGTACGTTGCTGTAATTGCAGCTGCAAATAAATCGTGTAGAAGTATTAATTGCGGTACTGTTGTGTAGATTTCTGTATGATATCTTTGCTAACAAGAAGGTAAACGACCAGACGCCTCCAATTATGGTGGTGTGTAACAAGAGCGAGGCTTCTGGAGCTGCCAGTCCGCTGGCGGTGCGTGACGCGTTGGAGAAGGAGCTGACGCAACTTAAGACCACGCGCTCGTCACTGGAGACGGAGGGAGACGACGACGAGCAGGATTTGTCGCAAGTGCCTGTTGGACGTGACGGAGCTGCGTTCGAATTCGATGTGGACTCGCCGTGCGAGATTTCGTTCGTCAAGTGCAGCGTCAAGGACGCCGACATCCACGACGTAGTGAGCTTCATCCAACAGCATTAGGACGGATCTGATAGGTAGATACTAGTACGTATCAAAAAACAGATTCTAGTGGTTTGATTGGAGTTTATTGGGCATGTTATTCCACCATGGTCTCTGGTCTATTGACCGATACTGTTTCCCAGCCCATAGAGTTGACCGGAGTACTTGGCTGCATTCTCGACGTTGCCTTCGAAGAAGACTTCGACCATCTTGAAGAACGTGGCAGCTGTGAGCAATGCGTCGGAACCAGCTTGGTGCATTATGCCTATTCTCTCCACTTTAAGGTCCTCGGCCAAGCGACTGAGTCCTCCCACCTTGTCGAAGTCCATACCCACGTGTTTCAAGTCGTACGTAGCAGGGAAGTACGTGTTCAATAGGTCAAAGAACGTTTCTTCTTCAGCTGGCAATGGGGCGCAAGTCAACACCTTGAGAAGGTAGCCAAAGTCCGAGGAGCCGTGGAACGAAACCCACTTGACGTGGTCGCCCAGTACGAGGCCTGAGGGCACTAAGAGTTCTCCAAATCGCGCCACTTCGATCCCTTGTTCTTCATGCTTTGCAAAGTCGATACCTGCCTGCTTGAGGATCTCGATCGAGTCTTGTGCGTACATGTCTTCGCTGAGACTGAACTTGAAGTTGAATTGCCATACAGGCAAGTCCTCCATGTATGAGCCGTCCTCATTGAAGAAGGCTACACCCAATTGGATGATACGTAGCAGGTCCACATTGCAGCGAAGCGTCTGGTATTGGTAGTCCGTGGAAGTCGTGAAGGAGCCAATGGGACGTGCCACTACACCTGGATACTCTGTGTCCATGGCGACGTAGCACCCCTTCGTCACTACCTCGCGAATCGTCTTCATAGTTTCCTCAAGGTTGGTTTCCCATACGTCCCGGATCTCCACGTCAGCGGGCATGGGGCGAGCTGACAGCATGATACTGAAAAGGGTTGTTCCGAACAGGGTACCTGAAGTTTAAAATGTCTGTATCTAGACAAGCAGACGTCGATAGACGGTAGGATATTTTCAGGAGAGACGACACGCGTCTGGAGAAGTAGATGTTTCTGGTGGATGGATCAACAAGAGCACGACACGATCTGTACACGCCGCGGAACGGAGCGTCACCTTGTCGCGCAGGTCACCTCGTCTTCTGGTTTGCCGAATTTGCTTCGTTAGAGATCGGACTTAATCGAAGCTTGTTTTCGACCAGTAAGAAATCAGAATCAGTTTGTTTTTCATTGAATCAACATGTTTTCTTTTTAGCCAATCGCACTGCGCAGAGCTATTGGCAATCGACCGTTGGCCACACACTGCCAAGCCAAGATGCTGTTGGCAGCTCGCGCTCGGCTGCTGCGAACTCCTGCCGCCCGTTGTGCCTCCATTGCAACTCGCTCTCTCAACAGCAATGTCACTGCCGCTTCCACACAATTAAACCGCCTCCAAGTGGCAAAATCCCGTGCATTCTCGACGGTTGACGGTCCCAAAGACGACGATGGAGAAGTCAAGGAAGAGCTCAGCCTAGAAGACGACGACGACCAGAACCAGCCAAACGATAGCGAAATGAGTCCTCTTGAACGTCTCATGCAGCATGCGCAGCAGTTTCAATTGGAGGCGGAACTGGACGATAACGACGATGACCAAGGCGATGACGCTACACCGGAACGCTCTGAAAGCGACGACATGTTTGCCAATGAATGGAATGCCATAAACGACAGCGCCAAGAGCAAATCCAACAGCGGAAGCTCTGGCGTCTTTAAGCGCAACACGTTCCGTCGTCGGGGGAACTCGGACCGTCACTGGAAACTCGGCCGACGTGCCGAAGGTCACGTCATCGGCAAGGACACGGACGAGATCGACTACGACGCCGAGCTGGAGAACGTCTGGGACGACGAGCAACTTAAACAACGTAAGTTCCACCAAGCTCTACGTCGTGAAGAGGACAAAGACCACATCTGCACCAACTGCGGGGAGCGTGGTCATCGTGCGAGGAACTGCCTGATCCCTCGCATCTGCTCCAACTGCGGCACCTTAGGCCACACTGCACGTCAATGCAGATACAGAAGAAACCCCGACTCAGTCGACGAGTTCTTACTGGAGGAAGAAGCATTCCAACAGAAGAGGAAGAAGAACCAGAAGCTCCGAAAGAAAGCCGCCAAGGCAGCAAACAACCCGAGCATGCCACGACTCAAAGAGTTGCCCACCAGTGACTTAAACAAGCGCAACGAGAGTCTCCGCCAAGAACTGGACGCTGAACTCGACGCGTACGCAGACATGCTAGAAGAACGAGACCGCAAGCGTAAGACGGACTAGGTAGACAAAAGAGAGGAAAAGGGTATTTGTTCAGCTAACTCCAATAACTCAGTTGCTCTCCCTAGTCGAGCATATCCTTTTACAGGCTCACGGTCGTCCCAAAGCCGCCTCCTCCGGGCGTATACAGCGTCAAGATCTCGCCTGGCGACACGTCCACCGTGTTCTTCCCGCCCAAGTTAACGGTGCGTCCTCCTTGGCGCTGAAGGACGTTGATACCGCGAGCGCCCGGCGCACCGCCTTCGAGTCCGTACGGCTGGAAGGCACGACGTTCCGAGAGGATACTCACCGTCATTCCCTCGAGGAACTCGATCTGACGCACCACTCCGTCGCCTCCACGGAACTTCCCAGCGCCACCGGATCCTTCACGCAGATGGAAGGCACGTAGCAACACAGGGAAGCGCTTCTCCAAGATCTCCGGGTCCGTGATTCGCGTGTTGGTCATGTGCGTGTGGATGCCGCTACGGCCGTTCCAGGACGGACCGGCACCGGCGCCACCGGCGATCGTCTCGTAGTATCCGCCCAACGTCGCACTACCGAACGTGAGGTTGTTCATACAGCCTTGAGACGCAGCACAGGCTCCAAACGCCTTGAGGATCACGTCGGTGATACGTTGACTGGTCAACACGTTGCCGCCCACCACAGCCGCATTGTCACTGGGGTTCAGAATACTCCCCTCCTTCGGGAAACGCACCTCAATAGGCGTCAGACAGCCTTGATTCAACGGCAAGTCTTCGCCTGGTAACAAGCAACGCAGACAGTAGATGATGGCGGAGTACGTCACGGCTGGCGGCGTGTTGACGTTGCCGAACACTTCCGGTCCCGTGCCGGCGAAGTCGAAAATTGCAGAGTTGGAGCGACGGTCGATCGAGATCTGCAGCGAGATCCTCGTGCCGTCGTCCATGAAGTCTTCGGCATGCACGACGCCAACTTCGGGAAGTTTTTTCTGCAGCGAAAACTCGTGCAACATGTTGCGTACTGCGATCTCCGCTGCTTGTTGGATGTAGTCCATGTAGGCCGTCACGACAGGCAGAGAATACTCGACACAGAGCTCGTGCATCAGCACTACTCCACGTTGATTAGCAGCCACTTGAGCGCGAAGATCGGAGAGATTATCACGCAAGTTACGCGTGCCGATACACGGGCGTCCTTGGTCGTCCACACGGTCTTTTTGTAAGAGGATGTCGGTGATCTCCTTCTCCCGGAACTCGCCCACCTTCCCGTCCACCAGCTTGAACGCCACGATAGCAGCGCCTTCTTCAGACAGCGTCTTGGACAGAGGAGGCATGGAACCGGGCGAGATGCCGCCGATATCAGCGTGATGTCCTCGACTGGCCACGAAGAACTCGATCTTACCGCTTGATCGGTCAAATACTGGTGTTATGACGGTAATATCCGGTAGATGCGAGCCTCCAGCAAGTTGAGGGTGGTTCGACACGAGGACGTCTCCATCATGAAGATCGTCGCCCCAGTATTTCAACTGATGACGCACAGCTTGCTGCATGGCACCCAAGTGGACAGGAAGATGCGGTGCGTTGGCGACAAGGCCGCCGTCAGGACCAAACAAAGCGCACGAGAAGTCCAGACGCTCCTTGATGTTCACAGACACCGACGTACGGGCCAATGTACGACCCATTTGCTCGGCAATACCCATGAACCGATGCGAGAACACCGACAGCTGAATAGGGTCGAGCGGGACATCTTCAGAGCGAACAACAGGCTGGTTCTCCGGTCCTGTAGCCTCCGTCGTAGAGACCAAGTACAGATCGCCGCTAGACATGATCTGTACTTCCCACTCAGGCTCCACTACCACCGTCGCGGTGCCCTGCATGATGATCGCTGGTCCTTTGTACTTGGCTCCTCGTCGTTCCAAAAGTTCTTCATGGAGATACACAGGGATCTCTTTCCACGCTTTATCCTTCTCAAAGTAGAACGGGGTCGTCGAGTGAGGCTTGCACGGCTCAACAATATCGCTGGTCGTAGTCTTTAACACGGGGTCTTTCAAGTCAGGAGACACCGTCGCACGCACACGGACGTCGTCGATGAGAATGGCTCGGTTCTGCAGCACAAAGCCGAACTCGCGCTGATACTTTTTGACGAAGCTGGCGTCGAAATCGAAGGCTGCGAGCGCATCAGCGCTCGTGGCAGGGGACTCACCTTTCGCACCCACAGGACCGCGAGTCATCACGGCATTGTCTGTGCCATCGTAACGCATGTTCAAAAAGTACTGCACCTGCACGTCTTCAGACTGGAATCCGTCACCGATTAACTCGTCCAAGGCTTCGTCCGCGATCTTCGTCAGACTCGCAACCAACGCCTGCTTACTATCAGCGTTGTATTCCGCTGAAGAAGGCAGCTGCTTGTCCACCACGCTGTCTGCCACACTCAAGCCGTACGCCGAGAGAATGCCACTATACCGATGGATATACACCTTCGACATCCCCAACGCCTTAGCGATCGAGCAAGCGTGTTGCGGGCCCGCACCTCCAAAGCATGCCAAGATGTGCGTACTGATGTCGTAGCCCTTATTCTGCGTCAGGTTACGGATAGGACGACACATGGCCTCGTTGGCTACACGCAGGAAGCCCGAGGCCACTTCTTCAAGCGTATACTGCGCGCCGTTAGCTCCAGATGAAGCGTTGATCTCGTTCGTCAGCTCCTCAAACGCTTTCTTGGATCCAGCCACATCCAACGGCTCGTCTTCGTTCGGACCGAAGATCTTGGGGAAGAAATCCGGCAGGATACGTCCTGTAACCAGGTTAGCATCCGTGACACTCAGGTAGCCATTCTTACGGTAACACACAGGTCCCGGATGAGCTCGAACGGACTCAGGGCCAACCAGGAACAGTCCGTTCTTGTAGAACAGTCGTGAGCCGCCTCCAGCTGCCACCGTCTGGATATCCAGTTGCGGTGCACGCACGGTAACATTCGCTGTCACACTTTCCAGGACGTGCTCGAATTTACCGTCAAAACGAGACACATCGGTCGAAGTTCCGCCCATATCGAAGCCGATAACTGCAGGTTGGACAGCAGACGCCTCAGGGGGGCGTGTGGTACGAGCATAGCCCACCACACCACCAGCAGGACCCGACAGGATGGCGCGATGGCCGTGGAAGTGCTTCATCCGTGCCAAGCCACCATCACTCTGCATAAAACTGATGTTCACCTGGTCCAATCCCTCGCCAAAGCCAGCACAGAATGAAGCCACGTATTTCTTGATCACAGGCGTCAGATAAGCGTCTGCGCACGTGGTGAAGCCACGCGGAACAGCCTTCACCATGGGCATGACCTCGGACGACAGCGACACTTGGGTGAAGCCCAGCTTGGTGGCGATGTCACGGACCTTCTCTTCGTGGCGAGGAAAAGTGTATGAGTGTAGTAACACAATGGCTACACTCTCCACGCCATCGTCACGTGCCGCTTGGAGCTGCTTCGTGAGGTCCTCGACGTCCAGATCTTTAATCACGCGGATGTAATCGCCACTAATTCCCTTCTCGTCGGTTGCAACGCGGTCTTTATCGTTGTTTATGAGCTGCAGACGCTCGTCCACTTCAATTACCGAGTCGTACAGAGTCTGTAATGAGATGTAATAACTTATATCAGTACATTGAAAAAAAGATGACTCGACCATTTTAAACTGACGTCGGGCATGTGGATCTCCAGATCGAAGATCTTGGGACGGGACTGGTTGCCGATGTACAGCAGATCGTGGAAGCCTTTCGTGGTGACGAGCACGGTGCGCTCTCCGTTGCGCTCTAGCAGCGCGTTGGTGGCTACAGTTGTGCCCATGCGGATACTCTGGATCTTGGACGTGTCTACAGGCTGATCGCGAGGGTGCGGGACGCCCGTCATGAGCTCCAACACGCGACGGATTCCCTCTCTAATTGCATCGTTAGTATTGGCTTAAATCATGTTTATTGTTAATGCATTAAACGACGTACCGAGGCGCGTCCGGGTAGTTGGCCGGATCTTCCGACAGCAGCTTAATGACTTTGGGTACGACGTCCACGACGCTCCCCTGGGCGTCCAACACGTCCATCTCGGCGTACACATCGGTGAATGTGCCGCCACGATCGATAGCGAAGCGGAACACGCGCATTTTCGACGACTCGGGGCTGGTCGGGAAGCTTGGGTGCGCAAAAAAACACAATGACAATCGAGCTGGTGACGCGCAAAAGCTAAACGGATCCTGATTGGCCAAATTTCTTGAGATGGGCACTAAATCATCATCACCGAACTTCGGTGTGTTTGGCCAACGCTGTGCTGGTTCCACCACCGAATACACACAACATGTAGAGTGACTCTACAAGTGTCTACACAAGAGTGATATTCTACAGTACTGAGGAGCTTTAAAAAAAACGACTCATTCGAAACGGCCACCATACTCAGTACGAGTCATTTGTGACCTTGAAGAGGCGCACAACATATATCATCCGACATGTTCTCGCGTAAATAGCTCACGCGCAAGGCCTCAGAAAAAGATCTGCCGACTTCAGCCCAAGCGTATTCTCTCATACGAAAACATGCTCAAGCGCTCGGCGCTTCGGGCGGACGAGGACGCGCCCTGCGCTATCAAAGTGGTAGTCCGTGCGCGTCCACTGAACGAGAGAGAGCTACAAGCCAAGACTTCGGTCGTAGTGAGTGTCAGTCGCACCGGAATCCAAGTGGTCAACCCCATCGTCTTCTCCGACCCGTCACTCGTCGAAGCGGCAGGTTCGGGTGGCTCTTCGTTGGCGCTCAGTCCAGCGCTCATCGCGGCCGCGGACACAGCGGGGGAATGCCGCACCTTCCACTTCGATCGATGTTTTGGGTCGAGTGACCAAATTGATGTGGACGAAGGGACGCAGAAACCAAATCAGTCACTTATTTTTGACGAAATAGGTCAATCTGTGATCGAGTCGGCCTTTCAGGGCTTCAACTGCACCATGTTTGCCTACGGTCAAACAGGCAGTGGCAAGACCCACACTATGGTCGGAGATAAGACAGATAGGGGCAAAGGGGTGATCCCCCGAGTGTGTGAAGCTTTATTTCGGGAAATTGACAATCGGAGGGAAAAAGAGACCGAAAATCTCGAACAAGAGGGGGTCAAGAGGACCATTTACACGGCTCATGTGAGTTATTGTGAAATTTACAAGGAAAAAGTCAACGATTTACTGGATACCGAGGGCAACGCGGCGGTGGAGAAGCAGAGACCATCATTCACGACTCAGACGCAGAATGATGGTGAAGTAAACGCTAACAGAAGAACTCTAAAAGTTAGAGAACATCCCGTAACGGGGCCGTTTGTGGAAGGACTCAGTATCCGCTCCGTTACGTCGTATGCGGACATTGCGGAAGAGATGCTGGCTGGAGAGAAACTTCGAACGGTGGCGTCCACTTTGATGAATCCCGTGTCGTCTCGATCGCATGCGGTCTTCACGATCACCATCACGCAGACGACGTTCGACCCGATTTCCCAGTGTGCGAACGAAAAGGTGTGAAGAGTGGAATAATTGTGCTTGATATCAAACTGACTTGAAGTTTTTTTCTGCTCTATTGAAGACGTCGAAGATAAGTATGATTGATCTGGCTGGATCCGAGCGTGCGAATGTGTCGGGGACTAGTGGGGACCGACTAAAAGAAGGAGCCATGATCAATAAGAGTCTCACGACGCTTGGACGCGTCATCTCTGCGCTCAGCAAGTACGTGTGGAGTACTGATTTTATATATCACTTACGATAGGAGTATTTAACAATTGCTATGATCCAGACAAGCTGCGGACAGGATTCCGTACCGTGATAGCACACTCACGTGGCTATTAAAGGAGAGCTTGGGAGGCAACGCAAAGGTAAGTCAAAGGACATCCAAGTACTCAATAGCCCCTACCTCATTAACCGCGCTACTTTCTTATATAACAGACAACAATGTTTGCAATGATCAGTCCATCCTCAGACGTACGATATCATCTGAGTAGTTTCTCTTTATATAACCTATCTAACCCCTTATCGATATAACAGAACTATGACGAGACAATGAGTACACTGCGGTATGCCGAGTCAGCGAAGAAAGTGATGAATCGCGCCGTGGTGAACGAAGACAAGAACGCGCGGATTATCCGCCAACTTCGTCAAGAAATCGAGGAATTGCGAGCTCAACTGGCAAGTAAAGAAGGCAGCTCCGGCAACGAACAAGTGAACGCCAGCATCTCTGCGAGTTTATTCGAACGCGAATCCTTCTACGCCGAACTGCAGAAAGAAGTCGAATTCTTCCGCTCCCAGCAAAAGCAACTGGTCGAGATCACACCAGCATCGCCCGCGATTCATTTAAGTGACAGTCTCCCGAGTTTAGTGAACTTGAGTGCCAGTTTGGTCCCTGGGGAAGCTCTAGCGTACGTTTTAGTAGAGGGGTCGACGTTATTCGGATCCGACCCAAACCCAGACATGACCAAGTACGAGACCGTCGAAGTGGCTCCCGACGAAGAGAAAAGCACAGAAAAATCGCTTAAGAAGAAGCGACGTGGCTCGTGGACGTCGACCATGTTGAGACGACGCAAGAGCTCTTCAAAGAGTGCTCCGTCTACACCAAGTGGCAAAGCTGCGCGCAACCTGGATGCTTCTGAGGTTGCCTTGGCTCTATCGACTGACAAGCGCTCGGTCATACAAATATGTAAACTTCCTGGCGGCGATGTGAGCCGAATTCTGCCCCGTCATGCTCGGTTTACGTGTACGCGAGTGCCCAGAGAAGAGGATTCGCCGGAATACATTGTGGAGCTCGAGTCGTTGGACCCCACAGCGATACTATTGGTGAATGGAGAGCCCTTAGAGTACGGCAGTGGACACCCCAAGCAGCTGCATCATGGCGATCAAGTTCGTCTCGGGAAACCCTATTGTTTCCGTATTCACGGTAAGTAAAATGTATTTCTACTCGAACGGCGCTCTATTTCTATTTCTAACTGATTACGGTAATCAGTCCCTGGGAATGCTACATCGACTCCAAGAATCGCCGAGGCGGTGGAGCAAGCGCCTGAGTTGGAGATCGACAAAGACGAAGCGCAAGAACTTGAAGTGTTAGTGGAAGAAGCCAATGCCATTTGCACGAAATGGCTGCTAAACACGGAGTTCGCCGTGGGAAAAGGGGGAAACGCGAGCACTGTCATTGTCAAGAAGAAATTAGAGGCACAGTGCTGCAGTACGGTGCACTGGGACCGCACCATGTTGGAGCTTAAACTCCAATTCTTACGTGAGTTTGCAGCTTCGTTAGAGAACGTGGTCTCGCTTACAATCGACGAGCCTCCTAAGATCGAGGAGCTAGCGGATTTACAGATCCCCGAGCTGTCCCCTAAAGTGGCTGCTTCTCGACGGCCAAGTGGCTTATCGGAGCTCGAGAGCAAGCCTTTGAATAACGACGAAAAGCTCGGGAAAGCGCACAAGACTGAGCACAAGCCACAGTCACAATCGACACCTTCACTGCGTCTTCTTGGCTATGGCCGACTGCATCTCGCAGCTCAATCTCCAGGCTCGGCAGTGTCGCTGTCTGTCGCTATCTATGACTTCACGGCAGCGTTTATTGGCAAGTTAGAAACGCGGTTGGAAGGGATCTCTGAGGCCGGAAAGAAGAGAGGAATTCTCTCCCCTAAAGAGCCCACAACTTCGATTCACCGTATCCGAGTGCACCTCGACAAGATGAAATTTGACGCTGGGAGTTTTGTCTCTGCGTCGAGTATTTCTATCACGTTAAAGGAGACGGCGTCAAAGACTCTAGCCAAGACTCCAGAGAGTAAAGAATTGTCGGAAGAAGGAGCGACAGCCAAGATCTTTTCGACGCCAAGAGTGCCACCGATGCAGACGTCGAATAACGACAAACAGCCAGTGGAGAGAGACCAGAAGACTTTTGTACTGCAAGAAACCTTCGAAACAGCCATCACTACGAAGAAGAAACAGTTGTTTAACCAACGCGCAGTAGAAGAGGAGTCTTTACTCGTAGAAGTATGGGGATACGACGTCAAGACGCGCTACTTGGCGCCTCCTACAGACGACGTGGAGGATGCGACGATGGAGACGCAACAGGTGGAATTCTACGTGTCTGTCGATGTGGAGGAGCGAGAAGTGGACGGATTGTATCATCCCGTGGCGGTGAAACCCGATGGCGCCTTACGTCTCCACGCGAACCGGTCTCGACGTCTTTTAGTCCGCGTCACGCAGTCGGATCAACAGCCATTCGCTTTATCCGAGATCATTCACGTTCGCATCGCTGCTCCGGATGCTCCTTCGGTCAATCGAACTGCGTCCATGTCGAGAGTGATGGGCAAGACGACGCAACGGATGTTGCCATCGTCGCGTATGCTGTACGAACACCGCGATCAGACTGTTTCTGGCGAGTCGCAGGGTCTGGAATTGGGCTCAGCGCGGTGGCAAGTGCTGGAGTTCCGCGGAGATTGCGGCGTTGACAACGCCAGTCGGTCGCTAAGCGCCGTTCTGCGTTGGGATCACGATCCAGATAGCGACTTGGAGCCCATAAACACCGCTGGCTCACGCTCAACGTACCGTCTAGCTATCGCCTTTGCAAGTCGATGGTCGAAAGTCCCCATCGTCATCTCGAAAAGTCTAGTCGCGAAGGTCTGTGGCAGCAATGTGTCGGCTGCTCAGAGGTTTACACGAGGCCTGGTGGCGTCTCGTACAGTGTGGTGGGCGAAGGAGAGTTACAGTCGCAGTTATCGTCTTGGAACCTGGTACGCCGCCGACATTATGGTCGATGATTTGCCGTTAGAGGACAACCCCGTGAGTGATGACGCCGCGTCAATGAACGACACTGTGATCGCTCATCACATCAACGGACTACATCGACTGGAGATGGCAATGCAACTGGAACGTGTACGTCAAAAAGTGTGGATTCTGATGAACCTACGCACCTCGGAAGATGGCGAGACAGCGCTCAGTGAGTCTCTGACTGCAGTCAAAGTGAATCTGTGCTTGGATGAGCTCTTTAAACGGCTGCACGACGACGTCCAAGTGTTCGAATGCGTGCAGTTCGATGCCCCAGAACTTTATCTTCGTCATTTAAGAAAAAATGACTTGCTGATGAATCTTTTAACTGGAAAATTGGTAAATCTGGGCAAAGTGACGGGTGTCGAGAGCGCAGCAGACAAGTCGGAACACTCGGCTTTGAAGCATAGAGAGCACGTGATTCACTTCGTGTCGGAGCCGACGCAACTAGTAGGCGGCGACCAACTGGGAGGCGAGATGAGTGGCTTCTTGATGCTGTCTCTGTCGTCTGCGCTTGACGGGGAGACTGCTGCTGCGGTTGCGCCGTTAGGAGGCAACGTAATGAGACCGAAGACGCCTCCTAAAGCTGGCCAACATGTCGCCTGGGAACGCCAGTGGTTCGTACTGAAGCGGCCGTTCTTGTACTCGTACGTGAGCTTCGCACGGAAGCAGCAAACCGGAGTCATGGATCTGTCGATGTGTCAGTTGATTGTGGCCACTGCTCTCGATGTGCCTTTCTCGTTCCGTCTTGTGTGCGTTGACGGGAGGAAGCAGTCGGCCGTGTGGTGGCTACAGGCTTCGACGGCGGCGGAGATGCGAGCGTGGCTGGTAGCGATTGATCCTCTCAAGATCGAGGCGAGAAAGAGCGTGGCCTCTACACTTTCTGAGGCGGAAACACCTGCTCTTACTGCGTAGGTGGAGATGCCACTGAATTTGTAAAACTTGCGGACAGAATTGAATAAGTAAAATGCATACTAAGCAGGTAAAAAAATCGGTTGATTATCACTTAGTACCTGCTATCTACTAGTAGTTTAGACTGCATTACCATGACCTCATCTTCCTTCGTGAGTTCGATTCGATAGAAATTCTCTGTGTCGCAGTCGAACTTTTTCTCTACGGGAATTGGCATCGTTTTTAGTAGAATTTTAGGAACGTTTTCTCCTTTTTTTCGTGATCCGATGCAGCAGTCAAATTGCCAAACCGTAGACGTACAAGACTGTTGCTATCGTCGCATTCTCCCATTGCACGGTACATGATCCTACAGCGCATCAATGGTCAGACAGGTTATCGCAGTACATATATTCGTACAACGCACCATCAGACCTTTCGTCCCAATACGTGCCGCTACGCACAAACTGGTTAAGACACAATTGATCACAGTAGTGATCAAAGGAAGCACAAACGATACCTGCCAATTTCGACCCCTGCTCCCTTCCGCTGACGAATAAAACACGTGACAATGTACTTGAAATTCTGCCACGACACGGAGAATCAGTCACTACAAGAACAGTGAATTAAATATAATAATAATTGTACCGGACACAGGCGCTTCAGGTCTTCAATACAAGCATTTGTCACCATGTTGACCCAGTCGTTTGCCTGCCACAAACATCGCTTACTCAAGTGCCAACAGCCGACCAACACAACGTTGGATCACCTTGGTGTTCTCGTACACATTCCCCTCCAGCACGCTACGCACTGCGTCTTGCACGATAACGTTCACTTCATCTTTGAGTAGAGGGAAATCGTAGCAGGTATCTGTTGGCATCGCGAGAGATCTAAAGTTGTGTGTCTGTTCGCAGTCTGTCACTGACGCTTCACCTCAAAATACAAATCCGATATGACCGAGAAGAACGATGGACAAGAATCTGCCCCACTTGAGCACAAGCAGAAGACCAAGAAAAAGAAGGATGGAAAGTCAAAAATGAAGAAAACTCGACGTCACTTTCGAGAAGAAACACAGCGAGCACGAGCACCACAAGTTCCACCGATGGAGGAAGTAAAACCTGCTTATAATCTAGATGAACCGGACGTAGTTGAAAGCGCTACAAGCTTGTCGCCGTCAGCGATAGTCGAGATGTTTCACGTGCAAGAAAGAGAGAACACTTCTTCGACTTCGATCGCGGTAACAGCGCGGTATCTTGTGGAGAACGAGACGAGCGGCGACTTCTACCACGTACGCACAAGGAAACGCCAACAACAAGTTTATCTCTCGGACCACACAAGACACCGACGGTCCTCGCTGGTTAAAGCGCAGCAGACGATTCGGGATGAATCGAACAAAGCGGAAACTTTCATGTGGTGGAAGATCTTACAGCGAGACGGAGAGAAAGCCATCGTGGTGATGCTCTTGGGGGTTGTGACCGGAATGTGCTGGATGGACGCTATGAATCTGCACGCAGGGGAAATATCCACGTCAAGGAAAGAGCTCGACAACTTCGTGTGCACATACAGCGCAGTGTCCAACCGTTCGCGAAAGAATCTCTTCATCCTGTTCAAATATCCTTCCACACTATAATAGTTCATGAACCATCGTCACCGCTACAATTCTATACACTCCTTACATCAAGCTCCCATGTTGCACTTTCGTGCTGATAGGTCTCATACGGAAGCTGAGTCGGATGAATCCGTACCATCAGTACAGAACTCTTGACTGTGGTACTACCGATATGATGTCGTTCAGATGGGTAAGGAACATACCCACTGCATTTTTGAGTGTGTGTTCTTAACCCCTTTATGATGCAATTAGCTCCAAGCAGCGACGGCTTTAATCTCTTTCGCACTGATCGTGCTGATGACTGGATCTCCTGCGGCGCTTCGACTGAGTCGAGCTCAGCAAGCTAACGCAAAGTGGTATGTTGCATCTAGCTAGATGATATCGAAGCCGTATGAGTTATGCTCAATCTGACTTTTTCAGGTGTGAGGATGTTGCGCCAACTTCGCCAATTTTTCGGGATGGGATCGTGATGCTACAGGTCTGCGCGATTTTAAACACAATGTTCACCACTGCAGCATGGCTGCTGGTCGCTTTGGTATGTTAGACGCCATTCTGTTGTCGCTTTCCCCTTTACATGTTAATACTACAACTAACTACTTTCTTGATCAAGTAGCAATGCAGCACGACCACGTCGTCTTCAACCCTTAACAGGAATCGTGTCGTCGAGCTACAAGAATCTCTCGAAGACAAAGAGAATCGGTCCGTGAACATTATATCTGCACCACTACTTTCACTCTAACCAGCAGGCACATGACTGAACAGCATAAACAAATTACAGGGAACACACCTTGAAGACTCGTCGGTGGATGAACTCAAGTCGCTCATCCAACTGCACCAGGTGCGCACTCGGCAGTCAATAGCTTACATTCTTGCGATAACTTTTAGCATACCTGGAACGTTGCAGCGTGCGATCGAGCTCACGGAAGGCGTGCTCGTATCAAAGCTTCAAGCCCTGCACCGCCCCGGTTAACTCGCAGATGGCTGCACTTATCACACGTCGCAGAAACTGAAGCATTGATCCACTGAATGATATCCCTTGTTGCCGGTTCCTATTAATGCGTTGCAACTTTGATACTACTACTTAATAGTATTTAATCTACAATGGTATCAAGTTAATACCATTGCAAATTGGATACTGCCGTTGCCTGAGCAACATCATCTCGGTGAGGTCGACGTGCATCACCATGAGCTTAGGACCTAAGCTATCTAAGTTAGGTCTCCTCGTCGAGCGGGCACGTAGCACACAGTAGACGAGCACGTCGACCACAGGACAGCGTTCACGGTCTTGCGTACCTCACTGCGCTGGTGAGGCCAACGGCGCACGCAAAGGACGCGCTAACGACGATTTCACGAGGCCGGAACAATCGTCTCCGGCTACACGCTGCATGGCCGTGCGGCAGGTATCTGATTTTGCTCAACCGACATAGTGACGCAGCGCACACACTCCAGCGGTCCGAGGTATCGTCAAGTCGATGCAGTTGACGTCTTGTTGGTCAGGACGGATCGCTGGCGGTTCTTCAATTGTCAAGACTGCGTCTTCATGTAAGGACTCGAGCAACCTTGATGCCGAGCAGCTTGAAGCAGAGCAACACCACAGGAAGCCAAGTTTCTTCATTACCGTTGTGACAACGGTTGTCAACGAGGCCGAGCACTTCCAGTCCACAGGGTCCCTGTGACAGGGATAGTGCGGTGGTGCGCACCGAGCTATCGGCCCCGCGACATCCCCACGATCAGCTACCTTGCGTATAGAGAACGCACTGTCATGATTGCCATACGGCGTGTGGCAGTCATGGTCCTCCGTATGATACGGAGGACCAGCAGCGAGTAACGAAATCCGGAGATCATCAATGCGATGCGGAACGGCGATCGCCAATGGCAAACATGTACTACGTACTACGTAGTACGTAGTACAGTTGAAGCGATTTGGATGTAGGCTGTAGTTGAAGCGATTAGGATGTTTGGCGAATCGCCGTATTTACATGTACATGTACCGGTAGAACACTCCATCGCTTCAACTACATGTTTGCATTAGATTTGCACTTGTATGGCATACACAGTAATACTGGTCCAGTACGTTTCGCGAGATGGGCTTCGAGAAAAAAATATCCTCATTGGCGATTCGTGAGTGCACTGGTAAAGTACTTAAGTACATGTACATGTAAATGAAACCATCTTAAAACGATTCGTTTAAGTGAGCTTATTATTGCTGCTACATGTAACGGCGTGAGTCACGCAGACCAGATTCAGATAGGTATTCTTACCGGGAATGCATTTACAATAATATCTATCATAACCTGGTCTCCTCGATTGATTCGCTCCGCTCACGTTGTCTACCCTACATGTGTACAGGGGGTATTAATGTATGTTGTACATGTATTTTTTTAAGTGGTATAATTCATACTATGAAAAAGAACAGCGTGTTCTCGTACAGCTTGCAATAAATTGCAAAAATAAATTTGAAGTTTTGGGTCTACGATTTCGATAATGTCTGAAATGTAATCAAGAGACATATCTAAACCCCGAAAACCTGGATATTGCGATTGCACAGTGACACCGTTTCCTGAGCACGACACGCTGGAGATTTATCTTCCTTCCTCGCCTCAGAACCGGATGACCAATCATTCGCATGCTTCACCGTCGCTTCGCGCCGCGCCGGTCAGCTTGCAAAATCGCGACCTCGCTGACTATTATAGCGGGTTTTTCGTTGCAACGGGGTCGGATCTCGAGATCGGGTTGTGCAGAGCGCACTACATATAAATGTACTACGAGGTGATAGTATCACTGATACGTGCACGCAGGACCGGATCGCTCTAACCTGCAGAGTGGCGGCTTGTAGGAATCGAAATACCCGGTAAGTAAAAACAATCGGAATTTCATTTGAAGTTTCTCAAGCGGAAACTTTGGAAACTGACTGACAGTCCGCCGGCTGCGACTATTCAATACGTGATCCCGCCAACCGGTGTGATGACAACCCGCCATCGGGTCTGGACGTCGACCAGAGGGCGTCAAAGACGGGTAATCGCATCAGGAAACTCGGTTCCCGATTTCCATGCTGTAAATTGCAGCCCAGTTCCTGCAAACTCTGTCACAGAGTTGCCTCGCTCAACAAAGCAAAAAACATGCACCAAGACGGTTGCAGTGCTGATCTCGAAACAGCGCCGCAATATTCCCACGGTTTCCTGTATCAACAAGCGTTGAATGTCCGAAATGTCGGGATTTTTTCTTTGTTTATTTTTGTTCGCTTTCTAAACGGCTCGTTGCCGTTGTCGTTTCACAGCCGCTGCTCATGCATGACAATAGCTTTGGCGAAGGCAACCGCAAGGTGGCAATTTGCACCTTGAAATTTGAAGCGCCGAGCTGTAGGATAATTGCAGCTTTCACCCAATGCTATACCGTAGGAAGTGTGTGATTCAGACGGCAACTGCACACGAATATTGGGCTGATCGCAATCGCGGCGGAAGTTTTCGCCGTTGACGATCCAGTGGGTGGCAAACCCAGCAGAACGTGCTTACTGTGAGAAAGATGTGGATTGTCTACGCTGCAATCAGTGGACCCCCTCCATGCGCGGCGACGGCGCTCTCGCCGACCCAGAGCTGAGCGCACTCTGTTCTTTGCACAACTTCCATCACCATCGCGCAGACCACGTTGCCTGAACCTTTCTGGGGGCAATTCGCTCTTCGGTGAGGACGCTCCTCCTTCAGTTTCCAATTACGACCGCTGCAAACAAGTGCCGCACTCAACGAACCAGCCAACCCACGCCATCTCATCATCCAACCAAGCGGCACCACCCCACGTGTTCGAAACCTTCGCGAACGAACCTTACACCCCCCAAAATTCGGCCGCGACCAAGAGACGCCCGTGCGTTTGACAAGACTAAAAGCGAACACCGACTGTGACAAGCATCCGCCGCAGCCTTTCCCAACCAGCGCAGCCCCACTCGACCGCCTCATTCTGGAATTGGACACGCCCCCCACTTTTGTTAGTAACAACCACGACCATGGATATCCGACGCCTTCTGCACAACCCGGACGATGGCGGTTGGTACATCATCGGTGAGACCAAGAGCGAAGCCGAGATGAACGAGTTCCGCCGCTCACTCAAGCGCAACGCCATCATCAACACACACCTTGTGAACTGCACCATGAACCACGGAAACCTTGGCGTGAACACCGAACACAAGATGAAAGTCCAATGGACCAAGTGCACCTCTGCATTGTGTCATCCCAAGGGCAACAACCAGAACGAATTTGACGAGCAAGGCAAGCCACGGGCGTGTCCCGTACAGGTGCGCATGTCCACGTGTCAACTCACGTTCGCCGGCATCATTTGCCAGGCGTACCAGCACTTGAGTGAGGAACACGACTCGGCCGAGCCCCTACAGTCGTCTGTTACTGAGGAGATGAAGACTCACATTGTGCGTATGTTGCTGGAGAACCCCGATGTAAAGCCCATGGCAATTTACAAGGAGCTCACGGCACTGCATGAAAAGGGTGCGTTCGGCGCAGACCTCATGCCGACCAAGATTCAGCTACGCAACGCTCTCACATATTTAAGAAGCCGAAAGCTCAAGCTATCGAGTGGCAGTGGTGGATCTACGGACGGTACTCCCCGGAAGCGAAGATACAATTCGTTCTCGGATGGAAGCGAGTCTCCACCACTCGAGGAACACCGCCAGCCAGAATATTGAAATCCCGACTAGTTTTTTTTTCCAACTCACTTTGCTGACGACACAACACCACAGCGGTGGTCGTCAACGGGGACCCCAGGACGCACCCCGACCTTATCTATCGTGTCTGCCCGCCCATTCGTAGTCGACTACGAGATAATAGGCCCAAGGTCGAGGAGGCAACTTAATCAAGATGCAGCACGAAGGCTGCCAGGTATATTACAATAGACGACACCGTTTGCCAGACAGTTTCTCTTTTCTGTTTTTTTTTCGCTCACCCATTGCGTTTGCCATGCGAGCGTGCAGAACGTTTGGGCAAGCAACAACGACAAAGCTTTCGTGCCCAAATACTGGAAGTACAACGTCGTTGTATTGTTCAACATCAGTCGCGCACTTCGCAGATTGAAACGCTACACGTCAACTCCAGCAGAAAGTTCCGCACCGGATAAATGGCTCGAGCCCAGGTGTCCAAATCCAGCCTAGCAGCAACATGGAACAATACATGCACATGTACAGTACTGTATGTAGCTGTGCTGATTGCATGTTAGCCGGACACTTTTTGTTTTTCTTCGGGCTAAATCCAATTTTGGGCTTTTTTCAATATAAACCAAAAACACATTTTCTAAACAATAATTATGTTAGCCACACAATATTTCCGGGGGAGGATCCCAATACAAAGATTTCCTAGCATTTTTCGGCTATGAGCTCTGAGGAGATCGGCAAGAAGGCGGACCTCGGTCCAGAGTTTCAGCGCGTGCTGCCTGAGGCGCAGGCCGTAGCGGCCAGTGGCGACGTGGAGCGCGCATGTGAGATACTGCTAACTCTCGAGAAGCAGGCGCGTCTAGCCAACGACGTGGCCACGCTCAAGGAGGCTGTGGGCTCCATTCTGACTCTGTGCGCGCAACACAAGCGCTGGGAGCTGCTTAAGGACCACGTAGCGCTGCTGGCCAAGCGTCGCGCACAGAAATCTGGCGCCATCACCGTCCTGGTACAGCGTGCCATGGAATTCCTGGCCGAGACGCCATCCGACGCCGTCAAAATGGAGCTCATCAACGCACTGCGCACTGTAGCGGAAGGCAAGATCTTCTTGGAGAAGGAACGCGCCACGCTGACGCAGATGCTGTCACGCATGAAAGAAGCGCGTGGCGAGATTGACGAGGCCGCCACTATCCTGCAAGAAGTGCACGTAGAGACGTACGGCGCTATGACGAAGCTGGAAAAGACGGAGTATATCTTGGAGCAGGTGCGACTCACATTGGCCAAAAAGGATTATGTACGTGCCAATATCTTGGCCAAGAAGATCTTGCGTCGTACCTTAGAGGAGAAGAACTTCCAGGAGTGCAAACTCAAGTTCTACCACCTCATGATCGAGTACGACACGCACGAGAACAACACGCTGGAGTTGTGTCGCCATTGGATGGCCATCTTCAACACGGAGATGGTCAAGGAGAAGGAGGAAATATGGAAGAAAGCTCTGGAACACGCCACGATCTTCGTGGTGCTCTCGGCTTACTCGAACTTGCAACACGATCTATTGCAAAATTTGGCTAGAGAGAAACTGGCTGAAAAACTGCCGGATTTTGCGGCGGTGTTGAAGAAATTTACCACTAGGGAGATCATTGCCTTCCCTATGGAACAGGACGCTGTGCTCAAGAGCCACCCGATCTTTAACCACGTCGAACGTGGCGCGGAGTGGTGGAAAAGTCTCCACACACGTGTCGTCGAGCACAATATCCGCGTGGTGGCTGAACACTATGATCGTATTCGTCTACCGCATCTGGCCAAGATGATTGGACTCGCCGAAGACGTACGTTTGCTGCTGTTGTGTGTGTGTGTGTGTTTTTTATTGTTTAATTTGGAATGCTAATGTTATTTTTAATTATTGAGATAGCTGACGGAGAGCAGCATCTCGACGTTGGTGAGCGACGGATCCATTTACGCCAAGATCGACCGCCCCGCCAAACTCGTTTCTTTCCACAGACCTCTTTCACCGGAGGAACATCTCTCCAACTGGTCGGGTACGTCGCTCATCGAAGCTGCTAAAATCTGGGTCATGGCATTAATTTTTGAGTATTTTCTTTTTTCATTTGCAGCGGATATTTCCCAGTTACTGCGCCTGGTGGAGACGACGTGCCACTTAGTCAACAAAGAGAACATGATCCACAAGATTTAAGCTCGCTAGGTGCAATAATCCGTCAGTGCTGCAGCGAATCTGTCGGATATTCTTCCTACCTGGCTTTAAAAAAAAATCGAAAGAAACAAAATACAGTGGCAATCCAACAAAATTGCTCGTTGACTTGTACGGAATGATACTTGTTCTCATGCGCCATAGCCAAAGTCCTATCACTACTCGTCATCGCCATTATAGTAGGCTGTCTTCATCTGCGTCGTCAAACTGTCCTGCTTCTGTCGCACCGTTCTCCAGTCCTGGGGAGACCTGCAACACCGAGTCGAAGTGTGCAGCCAGTTGAGCTGCTCGGGCTCCATCGGCCACCTCGTCCTCGTCCCAGATCCAGCCATCGTCGTCTTCCTCGTCGTCATCTGGGTTCATCTCCGCCGACTTGCTAAAGGCATCAAACAGTTCTTGTACTGCACAAAACATTAGCATAAAGGTAAAAAATATGAAGCAGCATAACAACACGCACGAGTTTTGTCGTCGACAGGTACGAAGCGAATTTCCGACACGTCCTGGTTGCTGATCTGGCAGTACAAACAGGGCTTCGAGAAGGCTGCGGGGTCTCTAGAGATGGCGTGCAGAGTGACGGAGCTCATTTCCCACGCGTAGCCCAGTTGTGTCCCCATCGCTGCGCCCAGCCAGAGCACGCGGCTTGTGGTCACAAACAGCGCACCGACAGATCCACTGTGTGCCAGTGTCTGCGTCTCTCCGTCGTCGTCCTCGCCTACGTCACTAGATGAAGCGTGGATCTCCACATTAGTAAAGCTAGCCAGCAAGAATTCCTCGTCGTCGCCCGCGCCAGTACGCAGCAGCGGTGTGCCATCGGCGCTTAAGTTCGCTACGGTCAAGACGTTCATTATGAAAAGTGCTAATTAATGATTGGTCAAAACAAGAAACGCGCTAAAAAAATGGGCAGGCTGAAGCGAAAAGGGTACTTAATATAGCTTGCGACCATTTACTCTACAACATGCAAAATTTATTTTTACTTTTGTTTTTTTTACCTAATGAAATAAATCACGAACATCTTTATCAAATCCTCTCTCCGACGACGGTGAAAGTCAACGCCAGTGGCATCTTTTTCGTCGTCGACATGTGCATACGAAGCTGCTTCATGAACGACAGCTTGATCATCTCCGACGAAGAAATTTTGCTTGTTTGAAGCGGAGTTTCCTGCTCGTCAGTTTGAGTTTTTTTCTCCTCGTCTTCCTTTTTCTTCTGCGGCACTGGCAGTCTGATTGATAGCTGCGAGGTTTTCTCGTTCCATGACCCCTTTAAATTGTTTTCCTGCAGGAACAGCCGCTGCTCTAAGCCAAGTTCCAGGATATACACAGTGAAGCTCTTCTGCCCCATACTCAACACGACGCCAGTCACTTCAATGTCGCCATGATGCTGCACATATGCACACAAAAACACCTTATCGCACTCCTTCTCCGCATTCTTGGACGTCGTTTTCTTCTCGTTGCAATTTTGCGCAACTGAAGTGAACTCCACCATTCTGGACTCGGGGTTCTCAGTATCTAACGACGAAGACTCCACCACACTCTCCTGAAGCAGGCGATGCACGACAACGTCGGCATATCGACGAATGGGCGACGTGAAGTGCGTGTAGTATGGGATATTCAAAGCGTAATGACGCCACGAATCCGACGACGCGCCATTACCGGCCACCATGTACTCGGCAGGCTTCATAGGTTTGATGATCAACGCTTGTGCGATGACAAACGTCGTGTCACCATGATCGTGTCGAACACGCTCCAAAGACTCGGTCAATTGCTTAGTAGATCTCCCGTCCACCTTGATGTCGCTCTTGTCTAGTAACTCCAGCGCCTGATCCATTGCTCGAGACACTGGAGGAGGGTGGTGACGTAAAAAGGCAAGAGGTCCATGAGCACGAAGCAATTGCTGAGCAACTAGGTAGTTCGCTAAGAGCATGTACTCCTCCACGAGACGATTACTGTCTTTCAGCTCATATGGTCCGTATCGAATCGGGTTGCCCTTGGCATCCAGTGAGAACGTCAGTTTAACGTCATTTAAACTCACTGCACCCGTCTCGAAGCGCATCGCTCGACGGTTCTCACCGATACTCCACAAGTCCTTGACACTCTGAATCACCGTCGCATTGCTGATATTGCTGTTGGCACCAGGAATCGGTCGACGATCGACTTCCCATTCCTCCACATTGTCGCTACTGATGACTCCGTCCAGCATCTTCTGCGCAGAACCATAGTCAAGTTTACAACACGAGCGGATAATCGACTTCCCGAACCATGGCTCGACACCGTCGACCAGTGTACCGTCAATATTCATCTGCCACACCACCGAGAACGCCAGTCGATCCACTTGAGGCTGCAGCGAACACAGCTTCTCACAGAGGATGCGAGGCAGCATGGGTAACACGCGGTTGGCGAGATACACACTGGTGGCTCGAGACCGAGCTTCCTCATCCAGCAGCGACTTGTGCTCAATAAAGTGCGTCACATCTGCGATGTGCACACCGATCTCGAACATCGTACGAGCACCATTAAGAGCTTGAATATGCAACGCGTCATCCAAATCTCGGGCATTATACGGGTCAATACTGAATATTTGAGTGTCGCGGAAATCTCGTCGCTTCTTCACTTCTTCTTCGGGTATTTCCCACTTTTCGCCGCTTGTACCGTATTTCTCGTCTAGCTCGTTTAGAATCGAGCTGTCGAAGTCCAATGTATGCGATTGTAAGCCATGTTTGGACAGTATGGCCGAGATACCGGTCTCAATGCCGGTATACTCGCCCACTGTCTTGACAAACTCACCCATCGGACTTTGGTGTCGAGTAGACCACGCTTTGATGCGACAAAAGCACAGCATCGTCTTTGAATACAACAGAGGTCGACTGATAAACTCGTCTGGAAGTTGTAGTCTTGGAATTCGAATGCGTCTCGGTAGACGTTGGTCATCAGCGTTGAAATACGCGTAATTATCGTTGCTAAACAGAGGCGAGTCCATGGTTTTTACTTTAGTGGCAGGCTCCAAGGATCCAATAAAGCCGTTGGAGTTGCCCTGTGCCAGGATAAACACCACGGACGCAGTCGGACGACGGCGAGACTCTTTTACACGCTCGTTCAGACGACTCAAGCTCTGCTTTAGCATATTTACCGAGCTTTCCTCATCGGCTGAGCGCTTAAGGAAACAGTTCTCTGTCTCCACACTAGGAAGCCAAAGCGAGTGTAGGGCGTTCTTATCGACCCCTGCACTCGAAGACATTGGCTTGGATTCAACAGACCTTCCATCGCTCTCATTGTCCATAGCTTTCCATTCTGCTTCTGGATGCAGCCGAACAGCTACAGATCTCCGTCTAGAGCACGGTTACGATCCTGCATGCCCTTAACCAGCACATCCATCGACAAGCCATCTACTGTGATGTAGCCATCCATGCGATACATGCCGTTGACCCGAAGTTTGCCTTGAAGGAGGCCTCCCATCTCAAGTCCACGAATCACCACGTCATGATCCAAGTATTCCGAGTAGGTAACCTGTCCATTGCCACGGTTACCTCTGTTTGTCGCCTTGGATTTCCTATCCGTCTCACTTTGTGACAATGGAGCTTGTTTCTCCTCTAATTCAAGCGTCCGGTTCTCCTTGTCTGTCTTTTTCTTCTGATTTTTATCGTTCTTTGAAGCATCTGGAGTGTTTTTCTTTGCACCACGCTTAGCTTGATCCTTGCTCTTCTCGTTTTCACCTTGCGTCTCCACCTTCGCCTTGCTTTGAGTTGATTCCCCTGCCGACGCAGCAGCATCGGTAGCAATGACTGTCTGTTGCTTCTCCTTCTTCTTCTTTTTCTGCTTTTTGCTCTTCTGTATACCCATCACTGTCATCTCCACTTCAACATCCTCTACCTCTACTTTATACAGCAATTTCTGTGCTTGCCTCATCTTTTTAGCGGTCTTCTTTGAGCTCTTCTTGGTCTCTATCGCAGTCTCCACCACGGTGACCACCTCTGCCTCCTTCCTCTTCTCATTTTTCTTTTTCTTCTTGTTCTTCTTCGACTTACTCTGCGTGCCACCGACTCGCACACTTGCGAATCCTTCCTCGGTAGCCACCAAAGCCAGCTCCTCGAGCTCGCTCTCTAAATCTACCATAACGAAGCCTGCACCTCCGAATGTATCTATCTCCTCGTCCAGTACACTCTCTGAGCTGTCGTCGTAGCCCGCGATCGCATCCATGTCTTGCTCCGTCCTCACCTCGTTCGGGTGTCGCTTCTTGCGCTTGGGTTTCGCGTCTTTGAACTGTGGCTTGGGGCTCGCCTTCTTGCTCTTGCTAGGTTTAGCTTCAGCAGCAGTTGCTGCTTCTTCACCCATCGCTTCCTGCCACGACAGTTTGACGCGCGGACGACTGTCGCGCTGCGCCATGTTAGATGCCGTTTTGGATTCTCGGAGCTCAAAGGAAGCTTCGTAAAGACCATCACTCACAGGGCAGAACCTTGTGAAAGAAGGTTTAATTGATGTATTACTATAAACGGGTTTCTAAGAAACGATGTAAATGGATAAAATAGTATTTTTGTTTTCAGCGCATATTATGACATATTTAAAAAGTTTTACACCTTTCGTACGTTCACGATTCGTGAACCACGAATCACAGACGATGATCAGGGTTCGCCAAAACCCAGCTTTTCGGATTTGAGTGGGTGGGTAATGAATTTTTTGTGGGTGGGTGGGATAAAAAACTGGGTATTATCTGCTGGATGACTCCATTTAACCAATTATAAAAAAACTGTGTCACCTCAGAGAAATATGGAGCGGTTACAGATGCTGTAGGGTGGTTAAAGAAAAAATAGATGCATATAACCGAGTTTCGGGGCGGTCCAAGGAAGAAATGTGCTCTAATGACAACTGGTGGTGGTTGGGGTAGCTCTCTTCAGCTGGTAACCGAAAGCGGGTATTGTAGCAAATGACCCGCTTAAGTTGCCGGCGCACTGAAGATGCATGGGCGAAGACGCGGCCGCATCGAGTGCAGGTAAAGCCAGTCATGGTACTTGCGTATTGCGTCAGCTCTATCGCTCTTTCTTTATTTTTATAAACCCAGAAAACCCAGCCTTAAAAAAGAGTGGGTGGGTGGGTCGTTCAAGCTACCCAAAACCCCAAAATTCCAAAACCCATTTTGCGAACGCTGACGATGATGCTGACCAGCTACACTGTAGCCTACAGAGGTTGATGAATCTGCTGTCAGCAGCGTTGCTACAACGGTTGCATTCCGTGTTGACTCAACCTGGTCCACCATTCGGAGCCTTGTTAGCACGTTGTTGATCCCACCCCCAGCAGCTCGACGGAGGAATCGAATCGTTCGCATCAACCTCTATGCTGTCACGTTTAAGGGATGGCAAGACATGGAATGTGATTAGCGTTGCACACAGCGATTCAACACCAGAAACTGACCCGTGATACAGGCCTCCATGCTCGGAGCATTGCTCCGTGCGCTGCACCGCAAGATGGCCCGAGGTTTTACTGACCCGAGGTTCCATTCACCACCCTCATTTCGAAATTCGCACGGCCGTCAGCAACTGGCCTTTCAAACTCGAGCATAGTTCCCTGGTCATGATATTTGCCGCTAGTAAAGCGATGCTAGCCATCGGTCTGGCAGTCAATGGTATTTGCCAGTCAACCGCGACAACGTCTCGCAACCTCACTTCGACCAGCCCAGCTGCATACATGGCCACCACCTACAGCGCCATGCACTCCACGGCATATCCTCTCACCGACAGCGACACTCTCGACACGACCGCGCTCGAGAATGCCATCGACGCCGATATGGCGTTGATCGCGCAGACCTTCACACACGTCCGCACCTTTTACTCCCAGTTTTATGGTGTGGGCGTCGCCCAATACGCTGCCGCACATGGCATCAAGCTACATCTGGGCATCTACATGACCGACGAATCGTGGCAACAGGACCAGATCAACAGCGCGGTAGCTGCCGTCCAAAAATTCCCTGGCACCGTCGAGGCGATTCTGATCGGTAACGAGAACATGTTCACCGGCACCACGGCGTCCGACATCATTGCCATCGCCACCTCTATCAAGAAAACCCTCGGTGATGCTGCCGACGGCATCCTGTTCGGCACGGTGCAACGCTCAACTGAGTACCTAGACACAGCCTACGACGACCAGATCAACCAGCTGTCCAAAAACCTCGATATCCTTGGAGTGAACCTCTACCCGTTCTTTGACAACAACTACGATTCTACAAAACCTGCGGCACTACTAGATGCAGTCTGGAACGCCATCGCCACCAAATATCCGGTATCGCAGTTGCTTACGTGTGAGACGGGTTTCCCCACAGCGGGTGATCCATCCACCTTGTCACCTGATGTGACGCCCTCACTGGACGCCTCCATTCAGTTCTTCAAAGCTGTCACTTCATGGGTCCCTACTGGGGGCGAGACATCGTTGAAGTTCTGGTTCGATTTCTTCGATCGCCGATCGGACGATACGTCCGTGGACGTGGAGCTCGAAAAACACTTCGGTATTTACACGTACGACGGCCAGCTGAAGAGCGGGGAGTTCCTGACGGCTCTGGGTGGTGCTTCCGCCGTTTCGTCCAGCTCGAGTTCAGCCACAACGACGTCGAGTTCAACAACGTCGGTGTCAGCATCTACCAGTCAGACCCAGACTCAGACGGACGACTCGATCTCGACTAGCGAGATTTCGAATGCTACCACGACGTCGAGCTCAACGTCAACTTCAGCATCGACCACCCAAACCCAGCCGGACAACTTAAGTCCGATCAGCGAGAATCTTGCGGAGACAACTACGACTACTGCGCCGTCCACGACTCCATTTCTAACGGCGGATACCCCGATTGTCACCACTACATCTTCCCCCTCCACTGCTACCCCCATATCGGACTCCGAGCCCGCCGTGAAAAAACACGATAGCTGCTAAGCGTTTGTTGTTCACTTGTTTAGCAACGACTCGTTTACCGTGAACCACAAATTGTAGCCTACCAGGCTCTTATTGCAGAAACACAAATACAGTCAACGAAAAAGAATAATGAGTGCTCGTGCAATTGAGTGTATTATAAATCTTACTTAAGTACAAGATTTCACTGCTGGGAAGGATTCCGAAAAAAAAATACTCAAGAAATATATAGTGATTTTCTTTTGTAATTATCTATTTCCTATAAAATAATAGTAGCTGTTCATATTTTTATTTGTGAATTTTATGACCAATTACTATACTATTTTCTCCTTTTCACTTCGGCATTCACTTCTAAACTTGCCCTAAAGCGTAAAACCTCATTACCCGAACAACTACTACGCATTCACAATGCGCGTCTTTGCCCCGTCCCGCAACAGCCCGACTTTCTCGAATAAGCAAGTCGCCCGCTTCTTCTTCTCGCCTGCCCTGGGCGACCACGGAGAGCCGACAGGCTGTCAAGTTTGCAAGACGTACGGCAAGTACCGCTAGCATACCCCTCGGACTGGGTACTCCAATTTGGTGTTCCATGTCCGAGAGAGCCACCCCAACTTCGAGGACGAGGTGCGTGACGCAAGTGCCGCGGCTACGGAAGCCTTTGTTCCGTGGGTAGCTCAGAAGACTGGCTGGTTCGGCTGGATGCGGTGGATTGTCATGTGTACCCCCCCCCCTCCCCCGTTCTCATTTTGTAAGCTATCGTTTCGAATTCGGATTGAGTATACTTGCTTAAACTTGTGACTGTCATTTCTAGGCTTACAAACTTGTCTCCGATCTCCGTTGACACTCTGTCCAGTGATATGGAGAAAGTAGTGAAAGCTAACGAGAAAATATAGGCGAAGAGATGCCTAATGAATTCGGTCTCATTTTGGACGGTTGGACCCATGGTAGCGAGCACTATCTCGCAGTGTTTGCCTGTTATGAAGGGCCCGACGGATCGCGGTATACACTCCTAGCGATGGCCCCGATCATGGACGGGCCAGACGACGCAGTGAGCGCCGACGGTCACACCGCCGCGATTAGGCGGGTTCTCCCGTTTTTTTTTGCGTTCTCTAACTGTTGTGCTGTTTTTAGTAAACAGCAATCGTGCAGTCAACAAGCGGCCGTGAGCGTGCCGCCCATCGGCTGTGCAACCCACCGTCTTAATCTAGCGGTTCGTGCGCACCCCATGAAGATGATCTGTAGAAACTACAATCTCTCATGCGTAAGCTGCGCACACTTAAACAAGCGCCCAAACTTCGATACGAATACTGCTGCCTTTAATACACATCTGTATTAATTGTTTAAATTCCTTTTATTAAGTGATATTTGCTCCAGTCAAACAACCGCACTCCAGACGACGATCGTGTACGTTTTCCATGCTATCGCGCTATTTCCGTCTCTATGAGCATCTATCTCCCGACGACGACGATATGGAGGACTTCATCCCTTCGCGCTTAGCCCACCGTGGCTTCCGTCAACTCTTTAAAGAGCTTCAAGCCCGTTGGACTGACTATGCTGGGCGCATGATATATACTTGACGGACTTTTGCAACCGACGTTCAGGGGCTACCTCGGTAATGTTTGCTAAAGCTATGATGATACTATTTACTAATATTGACTGTATGATAATGCCTGATGCCGCCATTGTGCACTCGCCCAACGCTCGGGTCGGCGGCTGTGAGGGTACTGGGTGGCCAAGCTACATGTTTGACCGCTGCGGAGAAGACTGCGCTTCAGCCGTTTCGACGTGGGGCGCCCGTGACGACTCCTGATGACACGAGCTGTCTTGTACCACGAGCGCCACTGTCTCCCGCCCATGGCTCTCGAGATGATCTTAATTTAGAAGGTCAACATCACGTACGGGAGCGTTGCCACTGCTGATGATTGTCTGCAGTAAGTAACTCGAAAGACATACTCTTCTCTTCGAGTTAGCAAATGTTTATTGCAGCTTAAGTGCATTTTCAGTTATTTATTTTGCCGCCTGAGATGCAGATAAAGCGCTATGTGTTTGCTAGGGATCTTGCAATTGATATATGAAACGTTTGGCGGGACCCCGGGGTCTCGCATAAAATATGCTCGGTATTGTGTTATTTTGGGCAGTCGCGACTTGTGACACAATCTTCAGTTTTGATCGGGTGTCGCTGCGGAAAATGTCGTCTCGGGCGTCTGGCGGCTCACGTTCAACCGTCCCGCCTCGAAAGCGTGCAAAACGAGTCGACAGGAAAGAGACCGCGTATATACGTGTATGTGAAAAGCTAGGAGATACCGTTAAGAAGATTCGTAACGACTGGGATCAAATGAATACAAGGCGAGATGGAAGCGAGTGGCAACAAAAAAGAAGACAAGCACTTCAGCAAAGCCACGCAGTAACCAACCTTCCATCACGTCACACACACAACAGAAAGAATAAGTACTTCAAGTTCAGTCATACTAATTTCAAATCAGCTTAAAAATGATACCGGTTTCTGATGGGGATACCGGGGTCCCGGTGGGACCCCGGGGTCCCGCCAAACGTTTCATATATTGTATTTTTGGAATCCCTGGCTTAAGTGCAGCGGGATGGCACTGAAAATAAATACCGGTACGCTATTAATAGCTCATGTAATGTAATACATGCTTCTTAATCGATATTAAGACTAATGCTTCAAGCTGAACGTTTTACTCGTGCTCTCCTTGAAATGACCATGAATTTCCGCAATCCGTCCTTAGCCCTTATTTTAACCCTTTCGCTTTCAAGATTTAACCTTTTAAACCCTACTCGGCGTGTGATTGGTCATTCCCATCACTTATATTTTTAACTCCGGTGGTAGCCCGAGTAAAATAATGGAAAGCTCTAGAGCGAGCAATTGTCGTCTCACTTCCGGCGAAAAGAGACCCGACGTGTGCAGACACCCCCTTTATGCCGTCGACTAGCAAAACTGAGCCTAGTATGTGGACTTTGTGATTTTGTTGAGACCATACTTGTAACAAAAAGACACAAAGTGTTGGGCGAAAGCATAGCAGGAGATACAAGCACGCCAGAAGCAAAAAAAAGACCGGAGCCGTGCGGCGACGGCAGTGCTCTCTAAGACTATATCAAGGTAAGAAAAGACAAATGAATGGCTCATAAACTCAAACGACCCTAATGATAACAGACGTACTGTTGCTGGTCACGCCTTGGACCAAGGCTCAGAGAGCTGATAAGGCGAGCACAAGCCTCAACACTTCATACCCCACTCGACCATGACCGCTTCATGGCAGATGAGTCGTCTTGGTCGTGTAGCATCGGCAGCTTTTGCCAGCTCACTTTCGTCCAATAGGGTAGCACATACCCAGGCTCGCCTTCGCATTGAGGCTGATGTTATCCGCCACACGTTGTTTCCAAGTCACTGGTAACATCCCGGTTTGGCAGAGGGGGGGGCACCTTCAGCATCTCCTGGCAATGCTCAAACTTGCTTCTGCCCAAAGCCTTGGTCATCACGCCGGCAGCCATGTCGTTCGTCCCAACAGGTTCCAGTTTGAGATGCTTTACTTTTGCGAGATGCCGTACCAAATAATATTTGTTCTCGATGTGTTTTGTCTTGCTGTACTTGCCCGGTTTCATACACTGCCTCGGTTGCCACCGCACAACACATGTCCTTCAACTTTCCAATGCAGCTCTTTGCACGGTCCCAACATCCCCCACATCAAGTCCTTCGCTCATTGCCACGTACTCAGCCTCGGTAGTGCTTTAAGCGTTGATCACTTGCTTTCAAGATGCAAACGACACAACATTACCATCAAGCGTGGTAACGTATCTACTGATACGCTTATGATCGTCTAAAAAATTTGCACAGTCCGCATCCGAAAAACGTCACACCTACAGTAGATCCACAACCTATATCATTCACCACCCCGTAGCGAACGGTATGAGAAACATGTCAGAGCACTCGCTTCACCATGAGGAAGTGCTCGTACGTGTAGTTGTCATGGAACTTTCCAAAGCTCTGAGCAGCATGAGCTCTGTCTGGTCTGGACACCGAAGCCAGGTACTGTAGAGCTCCCACTAACTCACGATAGGGAATGCAGCTTTGATTTGCGATTGCACGTTGCTGCAGTGGTGTCGTTGCATCTGGTGTTGTGCAGCCATTGCACTCCGCCATGTTGAATCGCTTTGATATGCTGGCGCTGGCAATACATCACCTGCTTCTGAATAGAACCCACCAGTATCTCCACACCAAGCAGGCATTTCACAGGACCCAGTTCCGAAGCTCAATCTTCCAGGCGAGACGTTGTGCCATGCTTCGGCACAACTCCGGCGGTCTTAACAACAGCAAATCATCCGTGTAAACAGTCAGTAGCATAGTGATCTTTCCAGTATCTTCCACCTTTCGGACGTACAGGCCGTAATCCGAGTTTAACGCTAGAACCCCAGCCTCTGCAACGCTTTGTGCAGCGTACGATTCCACACGTTTGACGCTTGCATAAAAAACCGTAGCGATCGGCACGCATACATGTCAGGCTGACTCTGGAAACCATGTGGTTGTTCGATGAAAATAAGGCCGTCCAGCTGACCGTAGAGAAACGCCGTCTTAACACCGTACTAAAAAATGACCCAGCCCCGCTGCTGGGCAAAATATATGGACGATCTGATCGTTTTGAAACGAATCACCGGAGCGCATGTCTCGGTGCACCCCAGTCCAGTGAGCTGCTTAAGGCCATGGATGTTAAGCCTCGCTTTAACCCCTTAGTTCCCGTATGTTTAGCCGCTAAACATAAGGCTATCTCCACTCGTAGTTGCTATCCGTATTGCAATCTGTCGAATCTGATTGGCTGTTGCTATTCGCTGCGATAATAGAAATAAGGATTTTCACCAACTCCAGTCGTCTGGAGGCTATTCTATCGGCAATGGAGGGCAGTGACGAAGAGTTTCTCCTCGCTGATGACGATGATCTTTTAGCTGCTGTTTTCGCTGTGGTCTGCGCGGAGCCAACAGAACAAGCGACAGCTCCTTCACTTCGTCAAGGCTCAAACAAAAGAAGAATCAAGCGCCTCGCGCGCGACATTGCGTCTGGACACGCAGCCCTGGTGCGAGATTATCCTGGGGACAACCCTGTCTACAGCGAGAAGCTGTTTGAGCGACGACATTGTGAAAAGAAAGTTCTTCATCACGCAAATCGTTTTTGCGTTTTATTTCTTCCAGTATCTTCTCGTTTTTCTCCCTGTTGTGATCGAGTAGTTGTTGGAGCAGCGTTGAAGTTGAGACTGGTGCTGTGTGTTGTAGTCGTGCCTTTTTTGCTTTATCTCTTCCTTCTGGGCGGAGGCTAGACTCTTCCTGCTCTTCACTCGATGACTTTTGGCCACGTTTTTGATGAGCAGGTAGTCCAAATGCCGTGAACTTGGGACAGCTTTTCAGTATCATCCAGCACGACAAAAACTCGAACCTACTACCATGGGTTTCCTGATACAACGTGCCGGCGTCGCCGTCGAATACTGCTGCCGTGTGCCGGCACACATCCTCCCAGAATGCAGCAGCTTTTTGGTCCGTTCCTTGTATTGGGTTCTCCGCAGAAATCTTGTACGCGCGAGCCAGAGCTTCGTCCTCCTGAGCACACCACTTCCGACCTCTCCCCATGGCGCCTGCGATCTTTCGGTTGAGTGAGTTTCTATTCGTGCACCAGAGTTGCTATTGGGGATCCGAATAGCAACTCGAACCAGAATTTCTATTTTCAAATAGCAATAGCAACTCCGAGTGGAGATAGCAGAATATATTCTTTCTGATTCCGTTGCTATTTTACCAATAGCAACTCCGATAGCAACTCGAGTGGAGATAGCCTAAGAGGTGTATAGCTTCTTTCAGTTTTTTTCGGCATCTATGTTATGTTTAGCGGCTAAACATAAGAGAAAAACTGACTTGGAGTTTGTATTGAACAGATCTCAAGAGAGCGCAGGAAAGCTCAATACTGAAGTCAAGACAAAAGTGGGAGCCTAAAACGGCCGGATGCACAGGCTTAGGGTAGCTGGACCGGATTCCTGATTGAACGAGATAAAGAGAGGCGGTGTCACCCACCACCAACGGGTGGCCGACAGTCACAAAACTCTCTCATACTTCAAAACGACCGCGGGGGCAGCAGACCAGAATGGTGGCGACGTCTGGCAAGATGCCACGACGGACGCTGACAGCGGAAGAGAACCGGTTGTGCAAGGCAGCCCTCAGTGACCGCCACAAGCGTCGCCTTCGTCGAGACGACGAGAGGCAGTCAGCAGCAGAGCCAAAGCATGGCGCTGAGGGGCGTGCGTTGAAGAAGCAGTCTAGGAAGAGGGCGGTGAAACTTACGACGACAGCCATGGAGATAGCAGAGTCTAGAGGTCCACATATTGAGCCGGCAGCACCCAAAGAGACAGAAGCAACAGCGAGTACGGACGAAGCTAAAGAGGTAATACCTGTTGCAGAAAATGAGGAAGATTCTGTGGAACCAGAGGTGGAGAAAGTTGTAGCAGACGTGGTGATGGCTGTGGCTTCAACTGTGGCTTCAAGTGCGCTTCTAACGCCTGTGCGAGATGCTCAAGGCGCTGTGGAGACCTTGCGCCACCCTCGGACGAACAAGCAGGCGCCGGTTACGCAAAGATCCCCGAAACGACGCCGCCGCGTCCTACAAGACAGTCCAGAACGCGAAGCTCAAGCTGAAGGCACCATAAGTGACACCACAGACACCGGTGCTGCGTCAGCTGCCCCGCATCTCCCTGTCGCCTGCGTAGTCGACGGTGATCCTAACATCATGGCGGCTGGTGCACGTGAGTGCACTGGCCTCGGATCAGAAGAGGAATCTGGTCCTGATTCAGACGATGACGACGCGGACAGTGAGTGGGAAGGAGATTGGGAGCTTGGAGAACTCTCTGATGAGGAGTTAGCCGATTGCGTTGGAACTGAACTACCGG